TATGTAGCAGAGTGGCGCCCGTGCTTGAGTATGGTAGATGCAGTCTTCCCAGGTGCAGGTCCCCATGAGTGGTTTAGACATTCCAAGGAAACTAGCAATCATGGCCCAGGAAGGTTTCTTTCATACGTTAACAGACTTGATATATAGTTATCGGGAACTAATTGAATAAACATAAGACTCTGCTCCCAGCCAGGGTGGTCACAGACATACCTTAGATTCTACAATATTTTATACATATATACAGCATTAATTATCTCTACCACATACTACAATTACTTCCTGTGTAGAAATTGCAGCAGCAAGCAGCATTACCTGAAATACACAGGGCAGGAGACCTTTTCTCCTTTAATGCCTTTATTAAAAGTGATCAGCTCAGGATTGGGCAGCTCAACGGGTCTGCAGTCTCAGTATTTTTCAAACAGACAAAACAAGATTCTTTCCCTGGAAAATCAGCCACCTGAGGCAATATTTTCATTCCAAAAAGGTCTTACCTTCTGGCTGAAGTTCTAAATTATTCAACAAGAACCCCAGAGGAGATAGGAATGCAGGCAGCTGATTGGAGGTTTTACAGCAAAAAAAGTGTCACAGCTTAATTTTTCTGAAGTCCAGATCCTCTAATGTTAAAACCGGTGTCAATCTTCCCATTAACTCAAAGCCTAAATCATGTAAATAGGGAAAATGCCAACATTTATACGCATTTAGAAACATACCTCATTTTGAGGCCAGACAGAAAATTTAGCAATTACTGCAGTAGCCATTTCAATACTGATCAAAATCTTGGATGACTATGCAGTCAATAATTTAAAGTATGTATTATATAGCAAGCATATGTAAGAGTAAAAAATATTTTTTCCCCCCACATTTCTTAGAACCTAGATCTAAGGAGACAGAAGAGGTTATTTCAAATGCATCACTGGCCTACTGAAAATGGAAGGCAGATAAAAACATTCAAAGACAGCCGCACCTCAAATCCAGTGTTCAATTCCAGGTCTGCCCCAAGAAGAAAGACATTGAGGTGTTGAGTGAGTCCAGAGAAGTGAATGGAGTTGATGAGGAGCAGTTGAGGGGCTGGGGGGGCTCAGACTGGAGAAAAGGAGGCTTAGGGAGAACCTTGTTGCTCTCTACAATGACCAGAGAGGAGGATGCAGCCCGGGGGGGGGGCAGCTCTTCTCCTAAAAAACAAGCAACAGGACAATAGGAAATAGTCTCAAGTTGCACCAGGGGAGGTTTAGTTTGGATATTAGGGGAAATTTCTTCCTGTTAAGGGTTTTCAAGCACTGGAACAGGCTGCCCAGGGCTATGGTGGCATTAATGATTCCTGTAGATGTGGCACTCAGGGACATGATTTAGTATGGATTTGGCAGTGGGTTAATGGTCGGAGACACAATGATCTTCGACCTAAATGACTGTGTTTCTAGAACTGGGTACTCCGGGCTTCTAAAAGCCTCTCTGAAATATTACTACATCCGTGAAGCACTTAATCATCTCTGAAACATGACTGTGTCTCAAAATTGGATTAATTGGAGCAAAATTGGATACAGATTGGAACAGTCTTTAGAGATCATTGTATCCTACCTCTGCACCTGGGGGTGGTGAATGATTCTTTTTTTTCTCTAGGTTTGCAATTCTACTTCAAAGTTATCAAACTGATAGGATGGCCATTATTTACATGAAGGTTTATCTACCATTTCTACTGAGACTCCCATCAGTATTTCTTGCTTCAATATTTTTTGCCAACTATCTATTTCACAAGATTAATTCTGAAAAAAAATATCAGCTAAATACTGAAAGTCTCATAAAAATAAAAATAGTTAAATTCTATAGAAAGCATTGTTATAGATGGATAGGTAAAAATCTTGCATAGTCAGTCACTTGGAGATGTAGGTAGTCTGGGTATCCTCCAATTTTCATAAAAATAGGAAGATGTTCACCACAATTAACACTAAAAAGTTAAAACCACTGAGATAAGGCAGAAACAAATTAATTTGCATTTAATACACTATTTTTTTCTCCTCTCATCCACTTAGCTTAAAAAGTTGGCATTCCACCACTTGACATTCCAGTGCACAGTAACATTCTCTCTCCCCTTCTGCTTTTATCCATTTGCAGACTATAGTTCACACCATGAAGCACTATCCTGCAACATTCCTGGCATGAAATAAGACTTCTGAAGGCATCCCAGTATGTCATGCTTTTTTTGAACAGTTTTTGACTTCCTGAAAAATTAGTTAATGTAAAACACTACAGCAAATTGTGGCTTGCTCCATTTTCTCATAGCGTTCAGGCTGTCAGTGCTGTTCTCAATGTTCTTTCATATTTTAGCACTTCTGCCTCATCACAGAAAAAACAGCCCATGAGGAGCTTCAGAAGGGGAGAATCTAGCAAAATGCCAAAACAGAATGCAGCACTAATCCTACCTGAAATCATAGTTGGTACTTACACCATAATATATAACAAAGCTTGAAAGATGCTTAATATTTTAAAACTGAAATTAATAATAAAGGAACTTAACAGACAAAAGTTCTGCTTTTTCAGAGAGCTTCTCAAACTACAAAACTGCACCAGCTACTTATTCACGCTGTGTAGGGCTGTTCAGTATCATAAAACACCACAGAACTTGAATTCAGGCCATGCTCAATTGGAATAAAGACTATTAATTTATTCTTTCAGCACTCTCATCTGAATTTCATCTAACCTTATGAGTATGAAAGTGTTACATACACAGCCTCAAATTCCTGCTCCCTACCTTCACTGCAGCCTAGACTGATCACAGCATTTTGCTAAGACATCTCATCAGCCTCCTTAGCTGAGCAGAAACATTGCATTGCTACCTAGAGAGATCTCTTCCAACTGTGTCCATTTAGCATGTAATGCTTTAAAAGTGAAAATAACTAGCTTCAACCAGACCACACTACAGAACTTTTAAAAACTGATTATGTTGGAAAATTAGTTTCTGATTCCTTCGTACCATTAAAATTAGAAAAAACAAGTTATCTATTATCAATTCCTTGCTTAGTCTGTATTACATGTAGTGTAAATACTATTTCCCATGTTATGAGGGCTGCAAGTATATGTGAGTTAAGCGAATACCATGACCCATGAGCACACTGACAAACAAATCACCAAAGATAAAATACCAACACATTTTTTATGTCTGAACTCAGCTATGTAGCCATCAACCAGTCTCTTTGTACAGCCATACAATTATAGCACTGGACAATATCAGAAAGATGCACATAAGGTAAATGTGTGGCCCTTTTCCCAAAACAAAGGAACAGAGCTAAGCATCTATTTCACAGAAATCTAGGACCCTGACTTTCAAGTTGTTTTTAAATGTTCCTTGGTCTACAGCTGTATTTTTTTTAATGTCCTCTTTTTCTCCTACACAGCAAATGAATTCACAACAACAGCTGTTTATAATACCCTTTTTATTTTTCAGCCAGAAATACAAATTAATTTCATATTTCAATAAACAGTAGTGTTTATTCCTTAAATAAACTCACCATCTCTTTGGCATTTGACCATATTCTGTTTTTCAAACTAAAGACTAATAGGAAGACTTTACTTTCAAGATCAATATCTTAAATGCATTAAATTTACTCCAGTGCAGTTAACTTTGAAAAATACACATTGGTGTTTTTTGTATTTTCTAATAAAACTATAAAAGACAACCAAACTACAAAATGCTCACTAGTGGGCTACCTTCATTTAAACTGTAGAGCAACAGCATAAGAACTCTTCATTTCCCAGAGCACACGCACTAACTAGTGCTTTCAAGTAATTCTGAGTGATAAACAAACAAGCAAAAAAATCTTGACCCTATCAGAAAAAACTGATCAAATAATTTATGCTTCAAAGCAATATGAAATTATTTTTAACTTCTGCAGAGGTCATCAGGAAAAAAATCAAGTTATGTACTGCTTCAGTACAAGACTGCATCTAAAAGAATACAGTATGAAAACTTCCATTTTTAAACTAAAGTAAAATAAAAACTAATTAAACAAAATGTTTCAAACACATCTAGAAATACAGCTGTCAAAACTGCATTTGACGTCATATTTGGATAAAAACTTATTAACAAAAGTAACCACTGCATTATTCTGCTGTAAAATTCAAGATCATCTCTCTAACACTGACAAGAAATATTTCACTTTCACTCTTGTCAAGAAAAAAATCTGCTCTCCAGAGCTTGTGTTCAGTGCTTCAAGTAAACAAAATTTACAAAGCTATGCTGAAGTTGATACCTTCTGCTACTACAGATGAAATGAAAATCACAAGTTAAAATCAAAAACATTACCAACATACCAGTACAGACATTCTATTTTCTGTCTCTAGACAATGTAAAAACAAAATTTAACAAAAAAAAAACCCAAAAACCAAACAAACAAAAAAATCACTTTATTTCTTGAAAGATTTGCTTTAAATAACTTAAAGATTTATCCTGAACATGTTCTATAGAATAAAAAGGACAAAGCAATTACTTCAATGCAGAAATTAAAAAATCAGTTTTGATAGGATTCAAGTAGCAAACATTTCTTTTACGAATAAATCTCACCCACATCACTAGTACAAGCGCAGTCTCAAAATGTATGAATTGGATGTTTAAATAGCAAGTGGTTCATCCAGTCAAGCTCACTTTCTTGTCCATGCTGCAAGAAAACCACATACATTTTACTACAGAAACAAAAAGTAAACAAAAAAAAACCCTCCCTGGGTAATAATCCAAGAGCAGTTTCTAATATCAAGCCAAAATTAGAAACAACCAAGCAGACACCACAAATTTTTCAGTGTTGAATTACTGTAAACACTAGATGTAGCAGTACAGAAAAAAAAAATCCCAAAAATCAAAAGCTTTTTTTTTGTTAAAATGTGTCCAAAGAAATATCCACTAGTTGCAGTCAAATCTGCATCAGAAGCTGCTGGATCAGGAAAGATTTCACTCTCCAAGTATTTGCACAAAACTTCATTGCCAAGACTGTATTCAAATAAATTACTTCCTGGTAAAACTGAGCTGATAAAACCACCTACAATGTGGACAGTCATGTACTCACTTCAACAGTGGATTTCTGCAGCAAGAGACAAAAGATGAGAAATAATTTCTAAATTTGAGATGATAGCTCATGTGCCATTCCTTGAAAACATACGATCCCCTCTAAGAGTAAGGTGCTGGAGCTGGTATTGTAGCACTTCTGTGTCAGCAGGTTCCTTAATGCTCATTTTGTCTAAATTGAGGTAGTCTAGGGATTTTGAATGAGCCCTTTTACCTTTCAAAAGGCAGAGAGGCAGGGGACCATGAAGTGCTTTGTAAGGTTCATATGGTAAAGCTTTATTGTATTTATCCCCAGAGCTGGGCATCCGTCTCCTCCTCCTTCCATTTACTGCTGGGATCTCATAGGGCTGGAAGTACTTACTTCTAGTTTTGTACAAACGCGAGGAACGTGAAAGTCCTGAATCAAGATGTTTGGAGCCCAAGTTAGGACCAGATTCTCCTTTATTCTCTTCACTTCCAATATACTTATGGGCTAATTTTAGCAGTTCCTTTCCAGTTGTGAAGCCAACCAGGTAGTTAGAATCCATGTGAAGGATCTGATATCCTGCAACTGTCCGCCTCAATGGTGAGCAGGGGGTGCTGGAACAGCGTGGCTTTTCTGCTTCCGTCCTGGCTGCAGAACTCACCTCTGCAAGAGGCACAGAGAGGGTGGAGAGGGTAGTTCTGGACTCTCCAGTCACATCAACTTCCATTTTAAACACAAAGCTTTGCTCCTAAAAATAAAACAGAGCTTGATCAGAAAATGCAATACAAGGGGCTGAGAGAAGACCAGAGGAAAGGAATTTTTTATCACCCAGAAGTCATAACCAGTACTTCCCTATTCAGCCTGGTCTTAGCTCTGCACGGTGTCACGTAACAGACCTATCACTGACATCTGTCTTTCAAAATTATCTTGGGTGGGTTTTTTAATAAAAGATACCACAAAGATACTGATAATTCTAAATAGCTAAAAACATATTAATATTATCACACAAAAATGGAGCATCTTTCTGGATCATTTCTTCAGCCTTTTAGTGCATTTGATTCTTTGTAGTCCCTCACCTCTTGGAGCATCTACATCCATTAGCAGATCCACAGCACCTTCCCCAGTCTTTACTTTGTAATTTGTCTACTGTCAATATTATCAAACAAAGCTTTCAAAAAACACGCCTAAAAAGTATGAGCTCATTCAGATATGACCATGGATCACACCTGATCTGAGTGTGCCTGATCTGATCTGGCTTTCATCTTCCACATGTGCAGACAGCTTGCTTTAAATTCACAGTAGCATCCTAGCCATTCCACACCTGTCTGATTACGTCATCAGCAGTCTTCACATACTCCCCAAGAAAACTGACCTATCATCTTACTCACAATTAATCAAACACACACTCTTTTATTCTAATAGGATTCTAATGTATTTCTAACAAAGTATACTGTATTTAATGAATATAGCATTAGATTCTTATAAGCATCTTAAGAATAAACAATATTTATTTGTTTTTTTCCTATTTCTCTTGGAAACATTTTACCCTTCCCTCACTACTATTCCAAACACATTATTTGGTGCCTTTACAAACAAAAGCGCTCACTGCAAGTTATTATCACCTCTAACATGAAAAGATATGGTCACCATCCAGCAAGTATACATCAGCAGATGCTGAAACACCAGAAAGCCTCCCTTTCATTTCTTTGTCAGCATCATCTGAACCATTTCACTCACACAGCTACTTCACAAAACAGGTCACATTTGTGACCTGCTTTCTTTATTTCCTGCAAATCCATGCTTTCTTCATTGTCAGACGCATCTTTGCTCTAAAGGTCAGCTACTGTAGTCAATATACTTCACAAAAAAAAAATCAGCATAACTATGTCACATTTAAAGGCAACAAAGGAAGGAAAGTTAGCATCCAAGTGTTAAGGTGAACAAATACTAAAATTCATTATATGTGATCATAAACTACATCCAAAAGCTCAATAATATTTCACAAATAAGGCTTACTTAAAACACACTTCCAGGAGTTTGCAAACTGTTGAAGCTACTACTTGATGCCATTTTAAGGCTTGGAACATGACAGGCCAAGTAGCAACAACGCAACAAACAAGGAAATACTTTATTCCATCGTCTGTAATTAAGACACCCCCCAAAATCCCATTAAGACCGATCTCCATTAATTTGTTTTAAATTAGGGAGGGAGCTGTGTGCAATTATCACTTAGCAAAAGAAAATACTAGCCTTATGCATAAAAAGGTAAGATTACCTTGTATCTGTGAAGGGATTGGGAAGGAGTAGTTCAAATAATGTTCTGTCAGAGTGGAAATCTGTTTCAAAACCTCTTGGGGGCTTGGAATATGTGGTAGGGGGTGGGTGAGCCCTTGCTCTGGTGAGGGGGTGCCCTGGCCCAGCCCCACAGTGTCTGTAACTAATGGCACAACGGAGGCAGCCCCCCTGTGTTGCCTAACCCAGCCCCCTAAATGGCTGAGCAACTGAAAGACCCACCTGGTAGGAAGGGTTTTTAAGAAGACTAACCATGATGCAAGCATGTTGCTCTCTAACTCTACCTCCATCTTGGAGCTTTACACCACTGGAACCCTGAAGGCAGTAGTTATGTCTCTTTTTCTACATCTTTCCCCCTTTTGCCTTCTAACTTTCCTTTCACAGAAGACAATGGCAAATGGGTTTAAACATTTTCTGTGTTCAGTGGGCTATGTCTGTGCTGTGGTGTTTCATGTTGTACTAAATCCTCTGACAAAGTCCCTCATCTTCTATAATTCACTAGTAAACTTTGTGATTTTTTAGCTCTTGAAGACATCTGGTTGGCATTTTTCCTTTGCACCTACCCAGACCAAAAGAATCTTGGTTTAACCCTGAATTTAAGTGACTAGGGTCTGACGTTCCTATCTCTCCTTCCCTGCTTAGTCCCCAATTAACCTGCTGCTCCCTATGCTAATAAATTAGGAGTAAACAAAATACCCACAGTTCTGATAAAGAGGATTTTATTTGCCATTAACAGACTTATATTATGGAGAGACTATTTTAATGTTCCTTTAGTCTTAAATGGTCTCTTTTCATTCTCAGTTGTGGTATACAGAGGATTCTTCATTACCAGTTTTGTGTACTGTAACTTTTGCAGATATACTTCATCCAATGACCTGTTAAGCATTCTGGGGTTGGACTAGATGGTCTGGGATTGGACTAAATGGTCTCCAGAAATCCCTTCCACCCCTAACAATTCTGTGAATCAATCAAAACAAGTAAAACAGTCAAATAAAGAATTAAAATACTGAAGTAAACCAGACACCCAAATTTTTCACTGCAGAAAGTCCACACAACTAAATAATGCTTCCCATGACATTTAACTGAATTCAATATAGATTTATGCAGTCAATTACCAGTGTTAGAATAGCAGAAGCAGCTGTTTCCTACTTTAACACCATATCAAGCAGTGAAACAGTAAATCTGATGAGGCTTCAGCTGCTGAGACAAAGATATTAATGACAATTTCTGAAGTTGAAATTATGTACCACCAGGAACCACAATTGCTGGAGGCACAGCACACAGAAATTCTGCATTACAATTTTCAGCTACCCTGTGATTTTAGGCTAGAAACCCAAGTATCTGTTCTGGCTCTTAATTCCCAAGTTTTACCCTGCAGTTTGGAAATCTCTCCTGAAACCTTTCAGAAAGACTCAACCTGTTCTGTTAAAAGAAACTGAAATTATGCTAGAAAATGTATAAATAAAATGGACATACTGCAAGGTTGAAAATGAATCATATTACCTAGTCACATACAAACAGCAAAATCAACAAAACAAACAAATAAACAAACAAGCCCAGAACAAACAAATCACTTGTCACAGCAGTATGCGCCCTAAAGAAGAGGAAGGAGGAAGATTATCTTCATGCACTTTTGGTGTTCAAAATCCGAAAGTAACACAAAGGCTGCTCTTCTCAGAACACAGCTTTTAAAGTTAATTTATTATGTTTGAAACATGGGCATGCACTCTGGTAACCAAGAGCAATCAACTTGGAAAAGTAACCACGCAGAAGAGAAGGAGTCAGCAGTTCACTGCACAATAATTACCCTCACTGTAAACCAGTGCAAAGGAAAATCAGAGCAGAAAGTCCTCAAGACAGCAAGGTCCAGCCTAAGTACTTGAGGTTCAGAAACTCCCATTCTGTGCTGCAGTGTGAAGAACAGTATCAAAACCAATACATCTGTCAAACATTTGAAAGCAACAGCAGCATCAGAAACTGGTGCCACACGCATCAAAAACTAAAGGGACTGAGCTAGAGACTGCTAGCCAGTGACACGAATGACTGGCCAGCTCCATAAGCAAAGGACCAAAACTCAGCATGTAGGTATTCAGCTCTTCCTTCCCAAGGCTTTTAAGCCAGTTATTCAGGCTGCCATATGGCTTCAAAGTGCTTTGTGTCCTTATCTGGGAAAAAAAGCCAAAAAAACTATAAAGACATTATTTAGAAAACTCCTATTAAAAAAATAGAAAATAATACGAGCTTCACAGTGAGTGTCTGTACCATCACCTATAAACAGATAGTTAAAACTTTTTGACAGTATTTTAGGACATTTCTATGGTTATAAAGCATTTGATAACTTCTGTTATGTTCACTGCTGTTTACAAGTACAAGCTCATCAGTAATAACACTGGAAAAAACAGTACTTCAGTTTAAAAAGATTACTTCTTCAGATCACTGCTGGCCTGTCTTCTTGCCTCTCAAACAGAATGACGACAGAGTGATGCCAATTAAAGATGATTTATAATTGAAGATTATTATTTAGTCTAACCAAGGAGACTAAGAACAAGATGGCATATCCTTTGCTGCTGGTCCACATATTAAAAACATATGCAAAGTAATGGAAAGTAGGAAAGCATTAATTCTTACCAACAGAATTAAGTTGACAATTACCTACTAGAATGGCCTTCAGAATAAAATTCAATGAGATTTTACAAGATTTTATCAATTCTCTGTATGTTTAAAGCAAGCTCTGTATGTGAAGTAACCAGACCCAATCTATATAAACACTAAGAAAATTGTCTAAAACACAGAGCAGAGAAATAATGAAGATAAATACTAGATGAACTATTAAAATCACTGTGTGAACTCAAAGAATACATTAATATTCTTGAGATAATTCTTTCTGTGTAAAACCATCAAAATTCCCACATTTTGCAAATATATGTATTTTCTGGTTATTGAATCTTCCACAAAATTGTCAGATATTATTCATATCCTTTTCATAACATGGGACAAATGAAAAACACATATGCATGACACACTAGGGCCTGATATCACAATATATGCACTGTAAATAATTTATTGTTGAAATGACTTCTTGCCATGTGCTCCATTGCACTCAAAATCTCGTGTTAGTTTTTTTTTCTCCGATAAAGTGTTATTTCTCCTGTTACATACATTATTTACTGTCTTTCTGAGGGAAGAAATGTGACTTATACAAAACAAACTTTAATTACTCAGTATTTGAAAAAAAAAATAAAGATGAAGAGCATTTTCCCTTGATAACACTTATGCTTTGTAGAAAGTCCACAATATTTTAGAACTGCTGTAAGTTACTCCTAACAAAGTATCTGGTTCTCTGTAATTTTGCATTTCTGTTGTTTCTTATCTCCTCAGCTAGAATCTGAAGTGATGTTACAACATGCCTATTTTTTTTCCATTTAGATAAGCATTAAATTTCTGTCCATTCAGTAAATGTTTTCTTCTTCAGAACTGATTCTTCCTCCTAGATGCCAAGCCTGCAGGCAATACTTTTGGTTAAGAATCACTAAGATACGTCACATTGATAAAATTATAGTAATTGCAACAAGAAAAAGCAGAATGTAGATGGCAGTGGTGATATCTGTAGAAGAGTCAAACATACTGAATAGAGATATCAAGCCAGTTTTGACATTTTCCCTTCTCTGTGCTGCCATTACTTGACATAAAAAATGCACTTAAAAGACAAAATGTTTATCTGTTAGACATCAGGAGTAAGTGAAATAGCCCAGAATGTGTGAAGTCAGGACACCTTTAATTATTTCAACTGTCTCTTTGTGAAGAGTGAAAGATAAGGTCTACATCACTCCCTTTGCAGTGTGAAGGAAAAAAAAACGTTTGCTGTTCCTTACAAGAAATTCCATACTCCTCTAAGCAAAAGAGAATGGGGGCAACATGAAATTGTTGCACCACATAAGACAACATTCAGATGGAGTAACAACTAAGTGTAGCACAGATTTACTTCCTCAAAATTACATGCAAGAAAAAAAAATTGTGCATAAAACATACACTATAATCCTACAGACCTTAAGAAAACATGAATTGATATTACTGAATTAATAAAGCCAGTGCAGTAACTTCAGAATGTAATGTAAAACAACAGCCTATGAAACAACTAGTAAAGTGTGTGTGTGTGTGTGTGTGTGTGTGTGCGCGTGTGTGTGTATTGGGGGGAGGGGGTTTGTTCTTGTCAACAGGTAAAAAAATTAAGCCACTCAGCTTAATTGCCAGTAATTATTGCCAGTATACCAGGCAATAATTTACAAAGTGTTCTTTCTGAAAAGATGATTACATCAATTTCTACTAATATGCCCCTACTCCAAGTAGCAGGAACCAGTTTTTTAAATTCTTGTTACTGAAAGTTTTAAAAAGAAAACTATTATGATCCAGAAAACTACCTTTTAAAATTGAAGACTGTCACAAGTGCACTACTGAGAAACTACAGCTAGCAACACAACTGACTACCTCAGACCAGATCAGTATGACAGAGCATAGGATTTAGTAACCATGGAACGTAAAGTCTGACCAGACTAATGAATTTTGTATGAGCAGACTTAGCAAGCAGGGAAGTGAAATAAAATGGTGGGAAAGAAGGCCATTTAACATCTCTCTGCCACGCAACACTGGACAGAAGTGTTTAACAGACCATAAGTTCTCTAAAATATTTAGAGCCTTCCACATGGACAATGAGACTCCCTTGTTGGACTGAATCACAGACAAACACTTCCCCTTCACTTGGTCAGTAAAATGATGCTCCTGGCCAGCATAAAGGTGGTTGTTTACTATGCTGACTCATCAAAAAATGAAACTGTGAGATACATGCAAAGTAGCTGATGCATATTGTAACACATAAAATTTTTATTCTTTATTGGATTAGAATGTAAAATAATGTTTCCCTTATAATTTCATTTTTACTTCTCTGTATTTTTGATCTTCCATCTTTTCATCTACTAAAATCTAAGTTTAATTTTCGCAGTTCTTACTTTCATGTTAGCCCACTTGGGAAGACACCAAACAACCTGAGCTGTCAAAAAAAACTAAATCACCTTTTAAAAATAAGAGACAGAAACAAACAAACAAAAGGAGAGTGCTTGAAGTATTCCAGTTTTCACTAAATAAATACTGATTTCTTTTCTTTAACAACCAAAGAGACTATAGTCTCCAATGTTTCTGTGTTAGAAAAGAAATTCAGGCCGGGTGGTTTTCTATACTTACAAATTAGTGCAGCTCTGATGACATTATTTTGAAATTATCAGCCTACACCATTCCATATTCAGCTTTTGACTAGGAACAGCTATTCAAGCAAGGAAACTTTAAAAATAGACCTACTCATAAATATTACAAAAATATATTCAACCAATGCAATTTAGTTTTTTCAGTTTTTTTAACGGACGCACTTTAAGTCACTTGTTCTCTGTCTTACCTTGCTACCATCTGCAGCAGATATTCAGATATTTGGTGGAAAGATTTTGATGCCTTGAGAGGCTACCTAGAAACACAGGCTAGACAGTGTTAAAGGAATAAAGAAGGTATTTAATAAAAAGGCCTTCAAAGGATATACCTTGGGCAGTACAAGGGCCCAGCTCTGGCTACACCCAAAATGAGTAACTGGTCACGACGTTTCACATTTTTATAAGTTTTGTTCAATTTATATATTGGGGTTAATTGTCCTGTTACAGCTTCAGGTAATAAAGTACCATCCTCCCAGTTTGCTCTCCTCAATTCGCTATTGTTAGTACTTTTTGGGCCTGAAGCTGCAATGGTGTCCTTGGTTCTCAGGTTGGAAAAGGATTATTTTGTCTAACTAAACTGTGAAGAGAATTTGCTAACACTTTATATGAAGGTCAGAGTTATATACTAATGCAGCGCAGAATCTGGAAAATACAAAACTCAAAACTTAAAGCATCCGTTTCACATTCACTTATACAATCCACATTGATAAAGGTCACTTTCTCAAGCTCACTAGAGTAATGTACATAAAGGCTTTAAAGTTCTGGTTTTTGTCTGTTTCTCAAATGCTCCTTCCCTTACTTAAAAGCTGCTTTAAAACAAGAGTACTGCAAGCAGAGAGTAACAATTAATGAAAGCCCAACAGTACATGCAGTCACAGTGAATTTCTATTAAACTTACAACTAGTGTGAACAGAAATCTGCCTCTTGGAACACTCAGTTCTGATTCATCTGACTTTGCAATATCATACCTCATTTGCATATTGCTGGCGGCCAAGCCAGCAGCATAAGGCTGATCAAAAACAAGAATGTACAGAAAGCTACACTATAATGTCAATACTCTTACACAAGACCTTAATTTCAATGATTGCACTGCCACTCCCTCATTTCCCTCTGCTTCAAAGCCACTGTGAGAACCACGCTCCTCTATCTTCATTATCAACAAATGCCCTTCCTCAAGGGAGAAAAGAGACAACTGAAGCAAGCACACCCCATTAGCCAGAATATGGTTCATAATATACCAACAGCAGGAGGGTGGTGGGAGAAGCAGCTTTCTGCACGCAGCTATACAAGCAAACATGTATGACATCCTGGCCCACTTTAGAAAATACAGTAACAAAGACACGTTTATAAGGAGCATTTGTTAGTGTTCATAATTTCTTTTTTTCTTTGTAATAAAGAATACATTTATGCTAGGCAAAATACATATAAACTAGCATATAAGTAATATATACAGAGACTTAAGATCTGAGATTGTTTTCCTACATTCTGCATACCACTCAAAACAGCACTGCAGCTGTTCAAAGACACTTTTCCAGTAAATGTACAGAGACAGAACTGGAAAAACATGCCTGCTAATGAGCCAAAGCATCTTAGCAAGTTTAATGCTCTGAAGTAACACTTTAATACACCTTCGAGTGCACAAGCACAGTCTGTGAGCTTCACAGGCCATACAGTAAAGACTAAGACAAAACTCTTGTCTACTCTTCACTAAACAAAATTTATTACAAACTAATACAACAGTTACCCACAGAAAGCTGTGCCCTAGTGCACATTGGTCAGATTCGATAGTAAGATCATATTCACGTTTATCACTTGTCTGCGTATGAGGCTGCCAGTGTGCTTTAAACTGCAACCGAGGAGACGGTTATGCGTACTAAATGCATACTTACACTAATACTAGATATAACTGCAAAAGAGTAAGTTCTGGGCTTTTCCACCACTTGGACTGTCACCCATCGGGTGGCACGGAGAGCGCTCAGGAGCAGCCTCAGCGCAGCCTGTAGGCCCCGCACGGCAACTCCCCGGGTTCCCTCTACACATGGGAATCACCACCAAGCATCCTGCTCTCCTAGGGCGGCCGGGCTGCCTTGCTCCCCGCTACCGGCTCAGCCCCGCGGCAGTCGGGGCCGCAGGGCGGGCTCCGGGGCCCGCAAGAGCGCAGGGCCGCTGCCCGCACCACGCGACCTGGCGCTGCCCGGGTACGGCTCACGCGGCCCCCAGCGCGCGCGCCATACGGCCGCCGGGAGCGGGCAGAGGAGCCGGCGCCCTCGCGAGGTACGATCCGCACGGCACCCTAGGCCTCCCCGCTGGCGGCACCACCGCCCACCCAAGAAGACTCCCGCCCTACGGCCCCTCCCTGGGCCCACCCAGCTCCGAGAACCGAGGGCACGGTCGGAGGCCGCGGAGCCTGGCCTCAGTTCCCGGTCGCTCGTACCTGCGGCCCAGCGCGGCGGGGTCCGCGCGGCAGCAGCTGCCGGGGGCGGCGCGCGGGGCGCTCCGGTTCCCCGGGCCCGCCCGGCGCCGGGCTGAGGGCGGAGCGTGGCGGCGGCTCCGTGCAGTACATCCAGGCCATTCCGAGCGCAGCGTTCCTTCTCGGCGTGAGCCTCGGTGTTTTTCAGCTGTCCTCAGGGTGGTTTAATAAGCGTTAGTCCCCTATACCATTCTTGCGTCGTATATACCTGAAAGAATGGATCAAGCAACCATCTCTTGGTGACTGTCTCATCACGAACATACCGCCCACTTCTGTAGTATTTCCAAACGGCCTACAAAGTTTGAACGCCGACTAGATAACAAACCTTTAGTAATGGGTTTTGCCAACAACCAATTAGATAATTTCCCTATTGCATTTTGCTGCACAGGCAAAGCTGCTATTACTGCAGCAAACCTTGCAAACAATTGTTTAACTTGGCTTTTGCAAGTGAAATAAAAGGAAAGGGGAAGAAAAAGCTTGATGTCATAGTCCTGGTTTTCGCCTTTAATAATAGTTATAAGCTCTACCACACAGCTCGTAAACCCCTAGCAGTGGAGTTAAGCTAGATTTTATTTCTAAAAATGAGTCTTTAAAGACTCATCTTAAACATACAGCTGAAGTTTATTGGTCTGATTGGGAAGGCATCAATGACCCCCATACCAAGGCCACATTTTGTTCTCCCTCTAGTCCCAATAATCCTGCCAAGAAAGTTGCAGGTGCAGTCTTGAATTGCACTGAAGGATGTTGGCATTCCATATGCACACAGACTAACCACTATGTGCCCAAATGCTCCTGGAATTTGTATTCCTTGGAATTTTCAGCTAGAATAAACAACAGAGAAATAAACCCCAATGTTTTTATAAGGAATTTTAATTACAGGCTCTGCAAGCCGTTAAGAGTCATAGGGTTTGCAAGATCACAAAAGCACTCTAAAAACTAAATTTGTAAATTTAACACACAACATGGGGAGTGTATCTGGTCAATCAGCAGTCCAAGAAAAGGAACCTGGAGTGTAGTTCGGGGTGTTATGATGCTCCATGTTGCTCACAGTACACAAACTCCTTTGGTTCATGTTGACGCCTGCAATACTGGCCTGAGCGAGAAATCCCATCTTCCTATATTGTCCCAAGGCATAAATGCGGCGGTAAGATCTTGTGAGTTAGTATATCACAATTTTCTTCCAACAAACTTCCTCCCAACAACTTCCTGCTCTCACTGTCAACTGAGTTTTCAGTCAGACTCTGAAATGGAGTTCCAAGGTGAAGAGGGCAGGCAGCAGTAGGATATTTTAGTATTTAATTAGCTGTAAAATTTATTAACATTTATCACATTGACAGAATTAACATGGTGCAAAACTTTTAATTTCCTAGGCACCAGAAGAAAGAAAGATCTTGAAGACTTAAAGCTAGTATTCAAATTCCAAACCAAATATTTGAAAATGACCCAACAGTTTCCTAAATCCATAATTTTCAAAATTTTGCGTTTTCAATGCAATCATGCTGTTAAGATTTTCTGAAGTTAAACTACTGTATTTCATTGCTTTTTCGCAATGTTTATCAAGTCATCCAAGATTTTATGTGAAAAATAAAGATACTTTAGTAAACTTGGCCTTTGTTTTCCCATATAAGATCTAATTAACACTCTGTAGTCCTGTTGCAACACAGAGAGAAGGAGACTGTTACGAGCTGTTTTCTCTGCATCATCCTGGCCAGAACGTGAAATACCAGCATCTTAGACTGTGCTCATCAGTAGCTTCCACATCAATGACTGTCAATTAGAAGGACGATACAAGACAATTTGTAAATAAACACAGTATTAAAGGTAAAATACATGGAAAACAGCTCAATTTCTATTATCCTCTTCAAGCACTTCCTGATTTATTATCCCATGAGTCCTTTTATCAAAAGGCTTATTTTTCTTGCTATTCCTGTATTCCATGTTTGTACATTGGAAACTGCTATGGTGTTTTGAGCATTAGTGAAGTTACTAAATTCAACAGCTGAAAGCTGAGCAATTTAGAGAATATTTACTCATTGTGTTTCTTTGGTTCTCTTTACATGGATTTAATCACCAAGCCTGACAAGACAAACATTTTTACTAAATACTCACTTTTCTTTTGCTTTTGAAGGATTGCAGCCATTATTTTGAAAACACAATTTTTGCTGAAAATCCAGAACTACATACAGGATAAAAACCAGGGCACTAATTTGAGAGGGGGCAGGGAAGAGAAAAGCACATCTGAGGAGGGTATGGCTGATGTGGCAGAAGAGCGTTATATTGGGGGGCATGGTGGCAGGTGGGTGGCACAGAAAGAGTATTTTTATATTAAAAGACAAAGAAAGAAATATTACATGTTGCCGTATAACTTGCAACTTTTCCATCCAAATTAAAAAGTTTAGTAATTTCTTAGAAGATTATTTGGCTAAGTTAAAAACTGAGCAGACCAGTTAATACAGTGAAAATCAACTCAAAACCTAAACAAAAATTTTAAAGCACGTCATTTATTAAAATACCATCTTAATTTTTATATAACAGTTAAAAAATTTAACTTTAGAAAGTTTAATAAGTGTAAAAAGCATCCCTTGATTTACTTTTTGGGCCAAATTTACTTTTTTGCCTAATTAAGCTGATTTCAGCTGGAATAACAGCTATTTAAGCAAGGTGAATTTTATCCAATGGACACAAACACAGGAAAGAATATGAAAAAGTGCTGGGTTTAGAACCTTGTGCATTTTGCAGATCTTTAGTTAGTACTAGCTGTGATTCAGAGCATCTCAAACTATAAACAGAACTATTTAACGTGAAAAGACACACTCTGTCCTACACCTTGAGATCTAAAATTTATTGGGAAAGGGAAGTGAAATTTTGGACCGGTCTTTAGAAAAATTTGCACTTAGTGTGCGCATGTATAGGGAGAGACAACAGAAAATACTTGCCAATGTTGCTGTAGGCTGTTTATTGAAGTTAAGTAAGTTTATCAAAATCAAACTCTGCATTGTTAAAGAGCAAGAGAAGTGATGAAGACATGTCTAAAAGTGGACCTGGTTGCTCACAGAGTTGGTACAGTCCCCATTCTTCTAGGCTCTCAAGTGCAAGCTGGATTAAGTGACATTGTTTGGTCCCACAGATGACCCTGATTTGAGCAAGACATTGCACCACAGCCTTCCTGAAGCCATTTCCATCCTGAGTTACTGTGTGTTCCTATGATCCTTGTTTAACCTTATTGCTTTTGGATTGATTGCATAGCCTATGTTGAGTTTAAAATGTATGGCAGCTGAATAGAATAGAATTAGAATTAGAATAGAATAGAATAGAATAGAATAGAATAGAGCAGTTGTGACCTACAGTGATCATCTGGTTTAACTGCCTGACCGCTTTAGGGCTGACCAAATTTAAAGCCCATTATGAAGGACTGTGGAATCCTCTGACTCTTCCCCCTCAGGGAAATCCCCAAAGCCTTGCCTTGGAAGACTGTATCAGAGTTTTCCCCATCTAGGCTGATACAGTGGACTTAACCCATGATGCTCTGCAGCACTGCTGCCAATCTACAGTAGATTGCCTCCCTCATTGCCCAGTTGACACTGCACTCCAATTATTCATCTCTCATTTCCGCTACAGGTTACTGCCCTTTGCCCTGCCCTTTGCCCACCCCTGTGCCCTCAGGTCATTGGTCACTGACCCCATTCTTAAGTTGTGCAGATCACATAGTTTTCTTTTTTGTCTGTGGTTCTTTTGGCATGGTGGATGTAACAAACCCTCGCTGGAATATATCATACAAAGACCCTTCCTGTTCCACTGCTGAGCTATCTGTGGCGTGTGTGTGCATGGACTTGAAATGGCTGTTCTTCTGGCCTTACTCTGAGCAGTTTCTGGAGACATTTCAAAGAAGGCTGCAGCATGTCTACCACCCTGCCACACTGCAACAAAGGACATTATTCAGATGCCTATTTTTGAGCACCAACAGGCCCAGGGTATTAACCACCTCTCTGGAAAGCCTGTGCCAGGGTTTTACCGTCCTCTCAGAAAGAAAATGCTTCTTAATGTCCAGTCAGACCCTCCCCTGATGCAGCTTTGAACCATCCCCACACACCCTGTTGCTGAATTGCAAGGAGAAGAGCTCAGCACATCCTTCCTCATTTCCCTTCCTCTGGTAGCTGAACACAGCAGTGATGTTGCCCCTCAGCCTCCTTCTCTCCAAACCCTACCACTCCTTGCAGGGTGGGCCCTCCAGCCCTTCTACCTGCTTGGTTGTCTTCTTCTGGATGTATTCAGGTGCCTTAGCATTGTTCTTAATTTTTGTGACCTAAAACAGCCCATAGCTTTAGTCCTCGTACTAAAACTTCCAGATAGTACTCGTAACTATCTGAGAAATGCATGTATTTTATTATTGGCTTTTTGCAAATATTAAAATGAATATTATATGTGTTGTGTTAGAAAGTAATGCTGTATTAATTATCTTAAGTAGTGTGTTAAATATAGTTTTAGGTTATAAAAAATGTTAAAATAGAAACGATGCTATGTAGGATACTTTTTTTAAAGAAAGGACTTGCAGCGAGATAGCAGCCACAGGACACCTGAATCTTTCAGAGAAAAAGTATTTATTGCCTTCTTATCAGAAGAAACGAACTTCTTCCTGCCTCGAAGGTGCTGTTAGGATTCGGAGGAAGAAGCTGACAATGACCAGACAGAATCCTGTGTTTGAATGGTATTTATGCATCATGTATGAAGTGTATGCATATGCAACAGGCTATTGTTTTTAAGGGTTAATCCTTTGTTAACAGGTGTCCATTTACGGGCTCGTGATGCCCAGAAAAAGGTACGCGTAACTCTTTGTTTTTATTGTCTCATATTGTCCTAATTGAATTTTTCCAAATTGTTATTACTCTAATTGTACTACTATTTTTATAACCATTTTATTACTATTAAACTTAAAAAATTTTAAAAACAAGTGATTGGCATTTTTCACAACTGATATCAAAGCTAGAAAAGACAGGAACCTCCAGGTTATTTTTTTATTCTATTCTGTTTCAAATCCAATGTCACTTCAGTCTTTTGAATTCTCTTGGTTGGATTTTCTAATTTATTTTCATTTCTGCTTTTCA